CTGGCCCGATTGCCATGTTAGGATATGGAGGCGCGTGGCTACCCCTCCCCAAGGCACATCTACAAACACGTCCTGACCTTCCGAGCTACATGTTCAGTCGGCGGAAAAAAAGGGCCCACCATCTGAAGCTGGCCAACCCTCAGCAACTCAGCAAACGGAGAACGTTTGGGCATGCCTAAAAAAGGGTAACCAATTTGATTGGATGGATGCAAAGGGAAACCGAGAGGAAACCAACCACCTGGATGTCAGAAATGCCCAGCTGGGCCCCGTCGCGCTTGGTGCTTTCCCCGGCAAGGTTGGGAGCTGTGACTGTGAACCTTTCTGCCATGTTCTCCCCAGCTGCCTCAAGTTGGTAACGCTGTTCTGGCGCCTGACCTAAAAATGACTGGATTCGACCGAAGTTAGGGGACCGGGAGATCAACATTTTTGATCATGGACACCTGCAGCCCGTTGGCTTCCTTGGCTAACCCCGAGCGTAAACCCAGTTTCCACTTGAGGCCCAGGGAGGCGAACGAAAGCTAGCTGCAGCACATGCTGTTTTCACACGCCAGCAGCTCGCAGGCTAAGAGGCGATCTTGTGGCGCGCGCCTCACGTTTCGGCCCAGCCGAAAAGCGAGAAGGGAGAGCTCTGTTGCTTTTTGGCTAAACGGTTTCGTGTGTGTGTGTTTTGTATATTAACATGTAGAAATATGTATGGTTGACTTTCTTGTTCTTTGGGTATGTGTCAAAATCGGGATTCGGAAGGCAAAAATTGCGCCTTCTTTCCTTTTGGCCTCTCTCCAAAGACTCGAAAATCAACACGCCCATCGTCTGAACATGGCTCTTGTTTTTGGCCTGAGAGCCCCCCAACAGCGGCCATCAGCTTGCATCAGCAAAAACAAGAAGGTGTCGAGGATCAAGTGAACTTGGCGTGAATAGGGATCCAGAGACGAAGTCTTGATGAAGTTGATGAGTGCAACAAGGACCATGCCAAAAAAACCAATCAGCGAAATGGGTCTTTTGAGGGCATCCTGTTTAGGTTAGTTCAGAAAATGAATTCGGAAAACCAAAATACTAGTTGTTTTGGGGGGTGCCCTATTCAGCGAATTGACTGGCAGTCTGATCATGTCTTCCAGTCTAACACTGTGTCTTCCGATCGGCCATGAAGTGCAGTAGCGCACTCAAGTGTCAGCAGGATGCGGCACATGTGATATGTGGCAGAATGTTGCATCAGCGCCAAGAATGTCTTTTTTATTCCGCTGCAGTACATCCAAGGTGCGGGCTCATCGAGCCGGTACTCAGGACGTGCCCGGTTTCTGCCCACCGCGGTGACGCGGCCGCAAGTTGCGCAAGGAAGCCGCGGCCATGCCTCTTTTTTTGCGTGGCCTGACAGCGCGACAGAGTGCCAGCTGTGCACGCAGGACGGCGTCTCGGGCCGCCTCTGCGCGTGAGGCTGCTAGCTTTACGTCCACTGGATGCATAGCTGTACAAAGGTTTTCCAGATTCACAGCTGCCTTCTGGAGAGACAACCTCAGGCGAGAAAGGGGACCCCACACATGTCCTTTGGAAGGTCGAGGTTTGGCCGCAGGCATGTCCGAGGCATGTAGGTCTTGGCAAGCTCGCTGCTGGAGTGTGGCTATGCCAGATCCAGAGGCGGCCGCGCACCGTGCTCGCCAGCCACTCCCAAACTTGCCCTGCATGGATGTCACGTAGGTGTCGTAGCAGAGACTGCATTTCAATCTTCGGTGGGTGGCTTTTGCAATATCAGACATGCAGCTCTGGTAAACGTTCCAGCTGAGCGGCTCTGTCGCATGGCGCATGAGAGCTGCGTGCGCAGCTTGAAAATTTGTCGCCGCAGGCGCAGCGGCTTCGGTCATGTTGGCTGCGGAGCCGTTGTCTTAGACACGGGTCGGTCGTGCAGGGCCTTGGCAATCTAGGATCCGGGCTTAGCGCCTACAACCCGCCAGAATCATCATGAAACAAGAAATATGAGGAAGAGATTTTGTTGCCCAACAATGTTGAAAGCAGAACTGCTCAGGAGACGGGTGCTTCTGCTAAAACCCGGCGCTAACTGCTTTGAGCTCAAAGGTAATGGCTGCGGGCTGCGCGGTCTTGGTGGCGATGCGAGCGGAGCTGGCAAAACACATGGGCATCTTGTATCGGCTGGCACAGAGTGCAAGTGAAGGTCATTTTTTTGGGCAGCCACGAGGCCACGGCCATTCGGAGCTGCTCGCCAGATGCCTGCCGAGCAAAACAACGTGGGGCGGACTCGAGTCGGCTCACGCACCTGGTCAGACAAAAAACAGTGCACAACAGACACGCGCAGACATCTGGCTCTCAAGAGACCCGGAGCAAGCATACATGCAAGTTTGAGACAATCTCAGGTTGCAAGAAGAAAGCAATGCAAAGGCTGTCTTTGTAAGAAAGTACGGATTTGGTTGCTGCTGATCCGCTGCCCCCTCGGAAATTCAACTGTGGTCATGTTGCGTCTTGTCCTGAAACAACATGACTGCAAGGATTAGAATTGTAGCTTGTTCCAGGAGCATGTGACGAGCAGAGAGTGTCGACTGCTCTCATTGGCAGAGCATCTTTGTCTTCTCTGGTGATGGCAGTAGCCGGTTGCACAAGCAGCAGCCCAGAGGCCTGGTACCCGCACTGCTGGCGTCGCAGGTCTGAGAGCAAGGGCTATGCGCGCGCTGGTGGCGCGCAAAGGAATCAAGGCAAGGGACGTGCCTGGCGCGCGCTGCTGGCGGCACAGGTCTCAAATCAAGGCTCTTGCGCGCGCTGCTGGCGTGCATTGAAGCCAGGGCACACTGCATGTGAAGGTCACGCTGCGGCACTCTTGAAGGTTCGCGAGAGATGCTCCAGAGTCTTCTGCGGGAGTGTAGTAGCAAACTTGCAGCTGAAGTAAGTATTGGAGACTAGGTCGGCGAGCCCCTGGAGCAGCGTGAGGTCAGCCTCATTCTCCATATGCAGTGGCGGTGTGAAGCGGTAGTATCCACCTTGCATGCTGGCCCCGTCGACTTGCAACTGCGCGCAAGCCTCTCTCAAAGGCCATGTGATACCACCAAGTAGCAGGCGGAACTTGTCGCCGGACTCAGGCACACTCTCTGCATGCACGGTCAAGTGCTGGGAAGCTGGTCCGGGGAGTTCCTTCAAGGAGACCTTGGGGACGGTCGCTTGCATGGCCACCTCCCACCCTGGCACCGCGTCCGGCGTGAAGTCGGCGACGTTGACCAGCCACATGTGCACCGGCAGCTTTCCAGGCATGCCCTCGCGAGTTCTCCTCCAAGAAGTAAAGGCTGCGACGTGCTGAAGCGCCGCCTGAAGACCGTCTCGAGCTCCACCGGCGAAGAGAGCAATTCTCCATGTAGGACCTTTGCCGAAGGCCCAGAGGAGCTGTGCGTACGATGCCTGGGCGCGACGAGCTGCGGCAAAAATAAAAGAAAGCAGAACCAAGAACATCAAAAAAAGGTCCTGAGATCGGTGTTTACTTTTTACCCGCGTTTGGGACTTGGTTTGATTGACCTCTGCAGGTGGCAGAGATTTTTGCCTGGCGACCCGAGACCTAGCAGTTGTGTGTATGGGACTGCTGTCTAGGCGCCAAGTCTGCAACAGCACGCGGCGCGTCCTCATCAGACATGGTGTCGGCGGCCGCGTGCAAGTACAGCTGTAAGTGTTCTTTCATCTTGAACAGCACACTGGGAACTTGGCGACTTCCTTTCATCTGCAGGTCCATGGCAAAGCATGCTTGCTGTGGCTCGAAGTGTTCCGAGACCAGGCCCCCATCTGGAGCATACTGCCACACTGTAATCTCCAGCGCATTTCCAGGCGCCGAGGAGGAGGTACCTTGTGCAGCTGACCGGCGTCTTGGTGTCAAGAAGGGCTTCGGAGCAGGAGTCACCGGCGAGGAGGGGGGCTCAGGCTTAGCCGCGGCAGCCACTGGCGGTGAACCTGCATCAGGCCTGGGCGCGGCAGGCACTGTCTCCGAGCTTGGGGCCGGCTCAACGCGTGGCCTCTTTGCGACGGGCGTTGAGGCGGGCATGATGGGCGATGTCGCAAAGGGGGCAGGCGCAAGGAACTGAAATGGCAGCGTTGTCACGTGTTGCAACGGGACGTATGGGTGGGAAAGGGGTGGGCCGCTGCCCAAGTCTTAAGCGGCCACAAAAGAAGCAGCGGCAGAGTGTTCCTGATGGATCTCCCGACGGCCCCCCCAGATCCAGCCTCCTTCCGCTTCCTCTTGCAGCTCTCAGCTTTCGGCTCTGGCTCCTCTGGCAAAAACAAAAGGAGAACTCCCAGGGATCAGCGGCCAACCTAAAAAGGATCAGCTTGCAGCTTCTTGGGACTCAATGAGTTAATGTTTTGCTTTTGTTAACTCCAGCTTCACCTCGGGTAGCGTGCGGATGCCTTGTTCGATGATCTCTACGCACTGTGAAGAGCCGACACCCATGAGATGCCCAGTGAGTCTTTGTCTCAAAGGGGGGGAGAAAGCCAGGATGTGGTTTCCTTTGGTTATCCCTTTCAAAACGGCCCTTCAGGGGTCCCAAGGGTTGCCAGCTTTGAGCTAGAGGGAACAAGTAATCACCACACCCAGGCCAAGGGATACGCGCAGGTGTCCCAAGCAGCGAGCCCTAACTCCATTGGCCAGTCCTTCAGAGAAAGGCTCGCAAAATCGGAAGCTTGCTTTTTCGTTGGCTTAAAAAGGAAAGCAGAAGGGTAACCGCTTTCCCAAAGAAGTTTCCCATTTTGCGAAAACTTCGCTAATGACTCCACGACCAGAATTGCTGGAGAAGACTAATTCTTGTGATTGCTCTCCATGACATCTGCTCACAAAAGATGACCGCGCCACAAAAAGGCAACCACAAAAACTTGCACCCTCTGCTTCCATTGGCTCTCAGCTCCCTTTGGGCCACCCGGCGCTGACAGAGCAAATCAAACCAGCCTCTCTGATCAGCTTCTTTCTCCGAACCAGCCGCACATTCCTTCGGCAGGATTCTTTGTTTCCGCACCTGGAACCCATT